GGCCACTCCTCCTGCTCAAGTGCCCTACCCACCTGTCATACTATCGTCATGAACCACGGCGCTCAAGGCCAAGGTTCAGCAGGCTGTTATCATTAGCTAAACGAATCCAATTAAACTTAAATGACGTGCCATATTTTTCATGCACCGTGTCGTACGTTGTCATCTGTTGTTGAAATCTTTCGAATCTGCAGCGACATTTACAGACGACCTTACTTCATGCTAATCCAGGTGAAGTCAGTGTTGAATCAGTCAACTGAAGCTGCAAGAACCGAAATCAATCTGCTTATGAATTACACCGAAAACTTGGAATTCGGACCAAGGCAAATTCATAGATAATTACGGGGATTTTTTAATCGGTTCCGAACGTCAATCAAATCAAGCACACGTGTGACAACCTCATATCAAAATCATACACACTCGACGGTAGGCACCGGCCCCCCCTTAAAAATCCAAGACTCGCAAAATGGGCCTCAAGTCTCCGCTAACGGCCGCCAAGGCTCCCCAAATGGCACCCATGGCTCCACTAACGGGCCCCAAGGCTCCGTTGACGGCCCCCAAGGCTCCGCAAACAACCCCCAAGGCTCCGTTGACGGCCCCCAAGGCTCCGTTAACAGCCCCCAAGGCTCCGCTAACAGATTTCCGGATTCGTCCGCACACATCCGCACCAACAGCGCCGTGGCAGCGGGCGTCACGGGGAGCCGGTGTGGTCGTCCGGCGGGGCCCCGGGGGGCCCGGACCCGCCGCCCGAGCCCCAGCGGAGACGGCCGGCTCGGCAGATGGAGCGGCGCCAGGCAGCGGAGGAGGCCGAGAGGCGGCCGGCTCCCCCGCGGCCGCGCCAGCACAAACAACGGCGGTGGAGAGCGATGGCGGGGGCGATGGGTCCGCGGGTGGGGCCGGGAGGAGCCGCTGGCAGGGACGAAGCCTGTGCAAACGAAGGGGTCAGCTGGGCTGCACCCTCTGACTGACGATGCTGATGACCGACTGCGCGGCGGGAACCTTTTGGCATCATCGCCACCAGTTCCTGACCGCAGCTGTGACTGGACATAAGCAGGACCCGTGTCGCCGCCCAAGGGATGTGGAATAAGCGGGTGTAAGGGTACATGAGTCTTCCAGCCAGCCGCCAGACGCGTCTGTCACGTGGATGAAAAAAAGGAGACAAGAAAAATGGTCAATCATGAGCATCGATCAGGCGTAGAGATAGTCAATATTCATGAAACATAATTTTCTCTCATCGAGCCGCCTCAGATACCGTCGCACCGGAATCCGACAATTCATCGAGCCGCCTCAGGCACCGTCGCACTGGCATATAACACCCGAACAGTGACCTGTCCCCTCCCACGTGTCACGTGTCTTCTCTCACGCCTCGGCACAAGGACCGTTGACACATGCAGGAGAGTGCCTGCGAATTTCCCAGGGCCGGTGCATCGAAGCAAGGTCCCTCTCAGTTATCATATCGCTCAACACAGGCCATTTAGCCGATCTGCGCCCTGGCGAAAGAGCTGAGCCCCTTCGACGAACCACCCGGCCTAACACGCATATTTCATGGCGTAACACGTCTTTCGTTATCTCTCAGGGACACCGAGCTACGCGCTAGGGATTCCGAGTACACGTGCTTACATCATGCTCCAAAGAGATGAAGGCATGCTGGCGATTGCGGGGTGATGCAATGAGGCAAAATTAACCGCTCCGATAGCGTAAGCACTATCCAAGTATGACATATGTCGAGCGACAGGGGATGCCGGTTTGTACCGCACAGCCGTTTGCAAACATCGTACAAATCTGCTGGAAGGTATACGTAATCAACGCTGTCGAACAGACGTCACCAATCTAATGACACCCGGCCTGTGTTCGACTTTCGGCCATCGATTCCCGCGCGGGGTCGGGCGTACAGCACGAAATTTATCCTTGCTGCCATCTAGCGATTAAGATTTGCACCACGAGTGCAGCCAATCCCGTTGTGTTTTGGTCAGCGACCTGCTGGGCACTCAGAAAGGACAGCGCCCGAGGCGAACATGCTTGGTACGAAATCTAAGAGCGGTACCATTAGAAATTCATGCCTGGCAAAATTTTTGAAACTCATCTAAACAACGTGCAACTATCGTCAACTAGCGGCTAAAATTTCCAACGATACGAAGGCTATCTGAGTATAATCATGGTCGAATGAATTTCCAAAAGGAGGAATGCGTGGTTGAATAGAAGTCGAGTCAGGAATACAACCACAAAAAAAGACAAACACACATCAACGGTGAAAAACTCACGCATCTTATGAAGCGTCGTCCACAAGAGCTGGTCACCGCCGCCGACCGCCCAGCATCCGCAGCGCACAGCTGAGATTTGCAACAGCACAGGTCATCGACCTCACCGCCGGCCGAGCGCAGTCAGGCCGGACCATGCACGCCGGCCGGGTGCTGGCGCTGCTCGGTGCCGCGGCGGCGAGCCTGGCGCTGGAGCTGGCGGTGCTTGGTGCCGGCGTGCCCGAAGACCTATCCTGCCCGCGGCTGAACTGTTCCCTCAGCGCCGGCGGCAGCTCCGGCGGCGTGGCGGTGCTGGCGCTGGAGTCGTCCGCCACCGCCGCGCCCACCGACGCGCTGCGCGTGCTGCTGGAGCTGAGCGCCAGCCCGGAGCCAGGCCGCGCCAGGCCGGCTGAGCTGCACGTGTCGCGGCGCGGCTACGCCGACCTCAGCCCCTCCCCCTGGCGGCTGGTGCCCGCCGAAAGCGGCGAGGAGCAGCTCGCGCGCGCCGCGGCCGCCTGGTTCGCCAAGCGGCCCGAGATCGCCTGGTGCGACGACCCAGCCGACGCGGCCGGCGCACTGTACGCGGCGGAGCTGGCCGACGAGGCGGACGTGGTGGTGGAGCGCTGCACCGCCGCCGACGCCGCCCGCCGCTTCCGGTTCGTACTGGTGAGCGAGCCGCGCCTCTGTGAGGGCCGCGTGCCGGACGACGTGTTTGAGGTGTTACACGGGGGCGCCGTGCCCGTGGTGTTCGGGTTCTTGCAGCACGCTGCGCTGCCGGCAGCGTCCTTCGTGCACGCGATCGCCACGCCGCCGGCCTACCTGGCGCACCACGTGCGCGAGCTGGGCTCCGACCCCCTCCGGTACCTGCGCTGGCGACGCCACTGGCGCCTGCAGCACGAGCCCCAGCGGTGGTTCTGCGAGCTGTGCGAGATGGTGCGCGAGGAGCGTGATGTGTGGCACGAGCCTGCGGGTCCGGAGAGGTGTCACCAGTACATCGGCGACGGGGAGTTCGTCATCAGCTGGGCCACGCAAGACTACCAGTTGTAAGGACCTGCCGTGTGCCCACTGCGTGTGGTGATGCGGTGTGTCTGTGATGCAACATCGCGAGTTGGATATGCCTGGAATAAAAAGGCAGCACTTGCCCAAATTGTCAAAGTATTATCTTGAGCGTCGGCTATTCAAAGGTCTCCCATGTCCATTACGTAAATTGAGTCGCGCATCATTTTTCTTGTGATTGCTGCGCTGCTGTGGAAGGCCGGCGATAAAATCGCTGTCTTCCTAGTTTAAGTCGTACGAAATCTTCGGTGCAATGTCTACTACAATTAAACCACACCAAACGACACGTTTTGAGATGCGCTTTTCTAATGTTCAGTTCTTGGATGATTTCTCTGAGCACCATTTGCCCAACTTTAAGCAGGAGAGCGATGTCTCTTCGTCACTCTCTCTTCCCTCTTCGTCAGCGAGTGCGTTCCAGCGCAAAGGCGGTGGTCCAGCAGTTTCGAAACCAAACCCAGCAAAATTTTACCTGGAGTAAAACAGACTGAAGAGCGGCAATCTGGCTTCGTGCATGGTACAGGCGCAATGGCAAACCACGCTTCGGCGAATCGGACAAAAGCATTATCAAAGATCCGACAGCCAACACAAAAGGCACCGAACAACGTAAAACTCAGCCTCATCAGACCAATGTATTGTGCAGTACACCTGCACGACGCCACAGCGGCGAAAATCAGCGATGATCTCGAGGTACACTTGGCCTTTCCCCACGCCCTGGTCGAAACTAAAGACACGTTCTGCTCCGTGGCCAGCTACCTCCGCGGCCGACTGCAAGCGGGAGCAGTCACCACCAGCAGCCGGGACTGGCGAGCTGTCCGCCGGCGCGAACACGGATGTCCAGCCGCCGAGTGGCCACGCGGTCGCCGGCAGTCCTACCCGGTCGTAACTCCCGCCAAGACAAGTCGGGGACGCTGGCGCACGGCCTCCGGTCGCGGTACTCGAAACAGGACGTGGCGCTGGGAGCAGTGACGCGGTACGATGACGCGCTCGACGGGCGACGACGATGATGCTGAACGGGCGCCGGAGCGCCGGGTGACGCCGTCTAGAAGGGTCGGCCCTGGTGCGGCCCACCGCGCATCATGCCCGGAGGCGGGCCCCGCATCGGGCCCATCGGGCCGGGCCCGCCGCGACCCATCTGGGGCGGCCCGCCCATGCCTGCCGACGGGGCACAGGTCAGCGACACACACACACGACAGGCGGCGGGGAGCAGGTCAGCGGCACACACACACGACAGCCGGCGGGGAGCAGGTCAGCGACGCACACACGACAGCTGGCGGGGAGCAGGTCAGCGGCACACACACACGACAGCCGGCGGGGAGCAGGTCAGCGAAGCACACACACGACAACCGGCGGGGAGCAGGTCAGCGACGCATACACGACAGCTGGCGGGGAGCAGGTCAGCGGCACACACACACGACAGCCGGCGGGGAGCAGGTCAGCGGCGCACACACGACAGCTGGCGGGGAGCAGGTCAGCGGCACACGCACACGACAGCCGGCGGGGAGCAGGTCAGCGACGCATACACGACAGCTGGCGGGGAGCAGGTCAGCGGCACACACACACGGCAGCCGGCGGGAGCAGGTCAGCGACACATGCGCGACAGTCGATGGGGAGCAGATGGGCCGTGGCTACGCACGCAAATCCGACGGCAGCGAAAATGAGCACTGGATCATGGAGGAGCCCTCCCACATAATTCGGGAGGATGCCGGGCCCCACGACTTCACGGCCGATTTATTATTTGGGTTCAGGGCGGTTCCACTGCTAAGAACAGCGGTCGTCACATGCCAGGCTGCCTTCAATACGACTGCGCAACATAGCAAATGCTGAAGAGAAACAAATTGTTTCAGAATCCCAGGAAACTGGTAAGTAAAGATGCACGCCCGTACACGCACAAGCTGACATCCTAAGATCGACTATCACAACGCTTCGTGCTATACAGACGCACGCCCCCCCCCCCCCCCCCCCCCCCCAGCTGAGGGAAAACGCCATCTATGACCGGCATGACGGAGTCAAAACATCGCTCTTACTGCTGGTAACTTAACTGCAGCACTCAGACGAAAAACCGTGAAAGTCGGATCAAACAGGTAATTCGACCATCAATAATAGTGCCCGACACCAATACGAGCACGATCTAAAAGTTAATTAAAAAGGCATGGCAACACTTTAAAAAAGAGATTCCTGCGCGGAGATCTAATACCCGCAGCTCACCAGGTTAGGCAATATTCTAATTTCTTCTATGCTGGCGACATAATATTGTAGATACATTGAGGACTTAATATGGAAAATGAAGCTGATGTTTGAGAAACACAAAATTCCTTTTGCTCGGGACATGACTAAATTAAGGTTATATCTAACACCCCAAACACTCGATTATCAATGAATCAGCTCAGTAGAACGCCATAATGAAGTCGTGGCACCATTCCCCTCAGTTTGGGAAGAACGGCACACTAGCGGACGAGAGCGGACCCTCCCTCTCGCCGCTCCCCTGGTCGCGCCACTCACCTCCCATCATGGGCCTGGGCGGTCCGCCGAGCAGCGGGCCCATCGGTCCGCGCATGGGCGGCATGCCGCGCCCCTGCGGCACCATCATCTGCTGGGAGGGTCCGCCGACGCCGCGCACCGGGCCCTGCAGGCCGGCGGCGGGCCCGGTGGGCGCGGCGCTGACGCCCCGGCCGGCGGCGCGGCCGGCGCCAGGGCCCGGCCCGGCGCCGGCGGCCGGCACGCGCGGCCCGCGCTCGTCGGCCGGCGGCGGCCCCTCCACCGTCACGGAGACGATGTTCTCGCCGCGCAGCAGCACCATGCCGAGCACGCGCTTCTCCTCCCGCTCGCCCGGCTTGCCGGCCTTGGCCTTCAGCTTGCGGAACTCCTCGCAGTCGCACAGGATCAGGTTCATGTGCTTGTCAAAGGCTGGCAGGGGGGGGGGGGGACGAGTTAGCAGTGAGTTTGACGATCATGATGACGACGACGAGAATGATTGATTGTGATGATCATGATGATGATAATGATTGCTAATTAGGGCTTGGGGCGCGCCCCTAAGCCAAAGGAGGCGCAGGCAGCAGTGGGACAGCAACATACAGGGACAGAATATGCTGATGTGTTCATAATCAAGTACTCAAGTTGGGAAATGAGAGCAGTAAAAAATGAACAAAATCACAAAAATCATGGCACACTAACTAAAACTAGGATTGTTACCTTTGAAAGTTCCGATGAATGTCCGTGAATCCTGAAGCATGACCCGAATCCTGTAGTTTATGTGCTGCATCATCTTGTTGTTCTTGCCGACCGTCTGTGTAAAAAACCGTCGTTATTTCAGCACATCTCTCCTGCAGATGTAACAGTTGTGGTTGGCTCATGGCCAGCTGCAACACAGCAGCCAAGCAAATTGTATGGCATTGACTGGAACCATCATTTTCATGTCATTTCAAGTCAAAAGTGATACTTTGGCCAAAATATGACTAGTCAATGTTGAAAAGTAATCACTTTTTGCCCAGGAAAGCAAACCATAACCAGTGAGTTTCATACATTGGAGTGTCCGCCTTTCCTGATGGACTTTGATAGCAGCCCCTCAAATTCGTGTGAACAACATATCAGGACAAACAGTACAATATATTCAAGATGGAGTAGGCATGCTATTAAGTGCCATGGACATTGTGCACTGCAACACTAAAAAATAGAGAACCATTCATAAGTAACTGCTGTCCATAAATATCATCACACCTAATATGCTTTTAATATGCTACTATTTCCACCCTCCCCCTGGTAAGGTACAGGTTACACTCAGTGAAACCATCTTTCCCTTGCTTATGCTATGTTAAGCATCACACCTCAAAAAGTAATGTCTGACCTCTAATTGAGCAAAAAATTACGAAAAACAAATAGCAGACATCTTCTTTTAACCAGCCTTTCATTCCTACTTTGTTTTTCAAGACTTGGGTAGCTTTTCAACTTGGGTAGCTCACAACATTATTGAGAGTACACAATACCTGGGGGCTGCACTGTGCACTGAGCTGGGGCACAGGTCTGACAGCATCAGGAAATGTACTGAGGTGTGTCAAAATGAAGAAGTGACAATTCATGAGAAAGGGCAGGCCAAAGAACGCAAACACCATTTGTCTCCACTGCATCACACTCATTTCTGGCTGCTAACAGCACCCACCACATGTAGTCAAAAATCCATCAATAGCATGAAAGCAATCAGCCAGAAAATACTGTGAGCAGAAAGCATTTAGCTCTTACCATCATTTGCTGCCTGTACTGAATAGGCAAGCAAGCTGTAAACAACCACACATCATAGAAAGGCCAGTGTCAGAGAGGCAGCTTCAAAACAAGTTAACTTGACTGTTCATATCATGATATATATGACAACTTTCACATGCTACAAATTTGGAAACAATGCCATCAATGCAAAATGTCAGATGTCATATTAAATGTGATTCTGACACTGAATCAGCAAAATGTTTGAGACATCTAACCATCAAATCACTAACCCCCACCACAAACAAAGAAGCCAGTGACCCCATTTGGGACACATTCAGCCCTACACCAAATATATTTGCAGTCTGTGGGGCTTATGACATGCTCTGCCACTGAAGCTTTAAGGCATTGCTCCCTCTCACCTTGACAGGGAAGGCAGGCACCTCAAGAATAAAACCCCACACTTCTACTATCACAGACATGCAGTGGCTAACACAGACATGCTTATTGCTACATAATCAGCACACCACCAAGAACCTTGCATGAGAACATCCTGCCACCCTCGGCAACTGCAAACTGGGGGCTCCTTGCAAATTTCCAAACTGATAAAGAAGGCTGCTAAAGAAATGGGAAAATATCAATCAGAGCATAGAATCTGCTCATTAATCTCCATCAGCACATATTCACAATGATTTGGCTGAAATGACTGGGAAGCCATACATCAAAATCAGCAAGCAAGCACTACACGCATTACATGCAAGTTCATACAGCCAATTTGGCATATCAGCTTACCACAGCACACCAAGCAACACATGTTCACAGCACCTACTGTGATCAGTAATGTCAACTAACACGTTTGGTACCCTAAATTATAAGGCACCCAAAACGTATGAAAGGTACGTGCCTAACGAAATGAAAGTCCGACACTACACATAGAAATGGTTTCCTGGCCATGCAGTCCAAGCACACCGATTGCAATAGATCTACGGGAAACGTACCATATTTGCTGCTTATGATCGGTGATCTAAAACTGAGGACCAACAAAACCTCTTCAACTGATTTGCAACGGCACGTGGCGACCCGAGCCCGTCAACCGGCCTCTCCCGCCTTGCAGCCGCGAAACGTTCACAGTTTCGGCTTCGTACCATCTGCGCTGAAAAAACCTACAAATGCGCCATTTTACTCTTCCAAGAGTTTTCAAAACTCCAGGTCACCCAAACACTACGGAATGATTGCATTTATAGGTTGTATAAAGTTTAAAAGCAGCTAAAACTGTAAATAAAAATATTAGCACAGGTGAATATTAGAAATTATTCTAGCATCACAAACTACATTCAATCTTGGACCCAGTCATATGTCTCAAACTGTCCAGTAGATGGCGTTGTATTCGTTTGAACCGTTGGATTGGTAGCGCGCGGCCGTACCCATTCGGCTTTTGAAGTCATCGGGGTTTTGGTTCCGCCGCAAGTGTGGCGTCTAAAAAAGGCGCATAGGTTGGATAATCATTTCTTAAAGGCTGCGTCCGTAATTCTGCTTCGCCTGAACGCGCAACCCATCCGGTCACTGATGGCCTCCGGGGGACCGCTTAAGGTACCTACGTTATGACCTCAATTTGAAGAGCCCGCTGCGGTGTTACCCTGTACCCTTTGTGCGGTTCGAGACGAGAGCTTCGTGGCAGGACAAGAAGCGATTCGGTGGCGTCGCGGATCAGTGGTGGGATCATTAATGGCGTATTGTGATTTGTGCGTTTGATGAAGCGACATGAGCTGTGTGTGAAACATCGGTAGCTGCATTATAAAAAAGGTATACAAAGTCGTATTAGGTTGTCTGCATAGTAGTACGTTAAATTGTACCGACCGGCTGCCGGACTTAATGACTGAGCGGGCTATTAGGTAGGTCCATAGGTTGGCCCGAGACTTAATGCACACCTCCCCAAACTAACGTGAGGGGTTGAGCCCACTGGCGTGTCATGGATATTACAATAGTAATGGACTTCAAATCAGGCTTTGTCTCCAGTTATTTTCAAAAAATAAAAGCTTGGTTTGATTCCAACTGATGTTGGTAGGCTGGTATGAGTTGTCTTTTGTGAAAGTTATTGTGCATTCCCAGTCAGGGCCTATGGCTTAACATGAAGCAATGTATGTATGTTTTATTTAGCTTCTATTTACCAGCACTTAATGTAATTGTGAGGAAAAGAGCAATGTTGTCATTTATTTAGGCAGCTGGTAGCTAATCAGACACCAACCAGCATAGCATGCACATGGGGTTACATGCCATAGTAAGGTATGTGACTTCTGACATATGAGGGACAACTGAAAAGACAGGCTGAACTGTCAGAACCATGTTGTGCTTTTTACACAGAGTTGTGTGCAGAATATTTTTTGCAAAATGGTTCATTTAGCTTCAATTTCTATGCTGGGGTGCTGTGAGTGGGATGCTGATGAGACAAACAGCAGCTTTTATTTACAAGAAATATCAAGCAACATGGTAACTAGTGGTTACATTATGTTATTGACCAAAATTTCTTGTACTAAAACTCTGCCATGATAGAAGTACCATTCTGCCATAGTCATGTCAAGATCTGTTTTGAAATAATTGAGGTCTGCTAAAAAAGATTGCTGTGATGTTGGATGTTTGAACCCCTGTTGTTACCAAACTTTAGTAATAATCCCTGTGAAAATACCAAGAACTGTCTAATTTGTCAGTTTTCTATGATCTTTGGATCCAGACCATAAGTGACATGCATAACATATTTATGTCTCAAAAATCAGAAAGTCTGATACCACAAAAATGTACATAATAAGACCTGAATGAGTGCCCACTGCCTGCTTTCAAGCTGGGGATAATGGTCCAGGAGCAGTCTTGCTATTTTGTCCAATATATTTTTTAACTTTTTGATTTCCTTCATATCTAGGGTAATAGTGCTGGAATGTTGATCTTATAGCACCAGATGTAACAAACTCAGGAGGTGGTGTAAATTCTGAAACCTCATCCAAGCATATTGAAATATTCATGCGTGCTTGTTATATTGGTTGACTGGTGTCACGCATGACATTTTTGCATATTTTTCATGTGAGGTGTGTGATGCAGCCTGGAACCAACTGGGTGATAATGGCCATGTCAGTTATCAGCTGCTTTGTGTATAGTGCCACAACCTAGCTTGTAGAGACAGGTGCCTGTTGACGACTGGTACTGATGGGTTTGATCAGTTTAATGTGAGGTCTGCCTCTTGCTGTTTGTGGGAGCTAGACAGGCAGGTCCATTGATGCATAAGCAGTGGCCATACTGAGTTCATTTAACTCTTTCACCCTGATTAACAAAAAGCAGTTTGTTAATGCACTGCCTGTGATTCTGTAAAGCTTGATAATACAATTGACAGGATTAAAGGATTTTGCAATCACGGTCCATTTTGGCTTTAAAGAAATGCTCTGGAGAGTATCAGCAATTTGGATCAGTATTGGTCACAATGAACGAGACAGCACACCTGCGTGGTCAATGCCACCCAATCTTTCTGTGTTTCACCACAGCAACTTTGATTGAGGATTGGTGTTGGAAAAGATAGCATTTAGTCATTTGCTGTCAATTCAATTTCTGATATAGCTGAGGATCACACAGTCCTGAGGTCTGTTTGTTAGTTGGATCCCATACATATTTAAAGTTTTCATTTGTTTTAAAGATCAGTCATGCCTAAAAGCTGCCAAAAAGTTGGGATCTGTGATTTGCTCACAGGGGTAGGTGATGCTGCTTATGCTAACCTACACCTCCATGGTGTGATTGTTCCTTTTGTAGTCTGTCTGCCTTGTCTTCTCTCATTGTCCTCTGTTTCCTCCTCTTTATTGTTGTGGTGTTGCAATACCTGACCATCAAGATCTTGCCCTGGTTTTAAATGAGTCAACAGTTTTTTTTTGCAAGTTGAACATGTGTTCAGTGGTTGGAGACATATGAGCTTCTAGAACACTGCATAACAGCTGGACAGGGCTGGGATGCTCAAGCCAAAAATATAGTAGCTCAAGTAAGACTTGCTGGATGTGTGGTTCTGTTTGTAGCTGTGGTTATGTGGGGATGTTGGGCCCACAATGATTTTATCCACATGTGATGCTCCGCCACCAAAATTATAATTCCTCTCCTGAGCCCAGGCATCACATGTGCTCACCCACTCTTCCCTCTATCCACAGCAAATGTTCAGCAACATGGCGGCCCAGATGAATGGTGCCGCCAATGGCGGGGGTGAGGATACGGCCGCGGCCAAGGCCGCCAAGCGACTCTCAGTGGAGCGCATATACCAGAAGAAGAGCCAGCTGGAGCATATCCTGCTGCGACCGGACTCGTACATCGGCTCGGTGGAGCCGCTGCAGGAGAGCATGTACGTGTACGACGAGGAGGAGGGCATGGTGCAGCGAGAGATCACCTTCGTGCCCGGCCTCTTCAAGATCTTCGACGAGGTGCTGGTGAACGCGGCCGACAACAAGCAGCGCGACCCCAACATGGACACCATCAAGATCGACATCGACGCGTGAGTGCAGCGCGTGCCGAAGCGCCGGTGTTCCTCCCCAGGGCCCGGTCGTCGGTTGAACTTGTACCCAAGTTGCCGGGGATTTTGGCCCCCAGTTGGATGTTTAAAGTGGGGTTGGATAGGGGGCTGGTAACGTTCGCTGGGCGTAGGAACTCTGCAAAGCACAGAACGTGGATCTGCAGAGTTTGAACCATACAAAGGTAGGGGTTGATTATTTGAATGCTCATGGTGCAACCGGTGGTTATCGCTGTATCGTGCGGTTACCCCTTTGAGATCGGCATGGTCAAAAGCAAGAGGAAGTAAAGAAAGCACCAGAAGCAAGTCATCATAGCTTTATAAACAGACACAGGTTTGGTTGATTGCTGACTGATTGCTGACTTTACATTGCCACCACCTTTCCTTCCAGTGAGAACAATACAATCTCCATCTTTAACAATGGCAAGGGAATTCCAGTTGTAACACACAAGGATGAGAACATGTACGTTCCTACGATGATCTTCGGTCACCTGTTGACTTCCTCCAATTTCAACGACGAGGAGCAGAAGGTACGACTTGGGTTCCCCATTTACGTGGTGAGGTCCGCTACATGTGATTATGGCTAATTGTTTGGTTTCAACACGTTCATTTCATCTCTCCTTGTGGCCTTCAGTGACAAGATGGTAACAACCTCGCATTCGCTGGCAACACTGCTTCATAACTGTAGAAGTGATTACTGAATGAAGTAGTCAACTCCCTGTGGTATTATCACAATATGACGGACTTTTGTCACTTTGTCGTTAGGTGTCAAAATAATGGGCTGCTGTGGCCTATGTAGATGTATAGAAGAAAGGAAGACGATGGTATAGAAGAAAACGTCATTCATGAGTATCATTCACGTCGTGCCTCTGAAATTGATGGCTTATTTCGTCGAACAAAGTCACATATTTATCCCTTTTTGCACCACCAGCGTCCAGTCATGGCAAGACACTGCAACATGTGCGGTGGGCACCTGATGTACGTTGTCTGGCTAATGTTCATGCCTGGTGCAGGTAACTGGTGGCAGGAACGGATATGGTGCGAAGCTCTGCAACATCTTCTCCACCAAGTTCATTGTGGAAACGGCCTGCAAAGAGTACAAGCGCTCTTTCAAACAGACGTGGGCCAACAACATGTCCAAAACGTCCGAGCCCAAAATCAAGGACTTCGCCGGCTCAGACTTCACGAAGGTGAGCTGGAAGAACACTCGTGGAAACACCTATGTGAGTCGTCAAGTCGAGTGCTACCTTCGGTGGCACATCCAAGGAATATCTCGTCGCGGCCATCGCCGTCCGTCTACCCCTCTCCCTCTCTGCACGACGTACCAGAATCTGGCATTCCAGCTCTTGAGCGTAGCTGAGGCGTACGTGCCACTCGGGCGGCCGTCAACTCAGACGCCAACGGAACCTGGCCGGCGGCCCAGGCCGGTGATACCGTGACCGTGCAACCCCTTGTGACCCCGTGTGACCCTATACGACCCCATGCTACCCCATGCGACCCTGTGCGACCTCGTGCGGCCCCGTATGACCCCATGCGACCTCGTGCGGCCCCGTATGACCCCATGCGACCCGGTGTGACCCTATACGACCCCATGCGACCCCATGCGACCCCGTGCGACCTCGTGCGGCCCCGTATGACCCCATGCGACCCGGTGGCGGCAGGTGACGTTCAGCCCGGACCTGAACAAGTTCAAGATGCCGTGTCTGGACAAGGACACGGTGGCGCTGCTCTCGCGGCGGGCCTACGACGTGGCCGCCAGCACGCGCGGCGTCAAGGTGTTCCTCAACGGCAAGCGGCTGCCGGTGAGTGGGCGGCGGCGCCGCGGGCGGGCCGTCCGGGCGGGCGGGCGCCGGTGTGGAGCGACTCGGCTGTGAGGGCCAGCGGTGTGAGCTGGACACAGCTGCTGAGCTTACTGGTGTGTCTTGAAGACATACAGTTCCATGCCATATATCGAACGAAACCTTATCTCCCCGCTTTTTCAGACAACTGTGAGATAAAAAGTAGGTTATGGGCGCCATGTGACGAACGTAGTCGGTGCGCCCCAAAGCCCAAATCATTATCATCGGTTACTGGTGTGGGATGGAGTCAACTGATGAGGGTGATGAGTGTGGGTTGGAATCTGTGGCTGTGGTTACCGACCTGGGGTGGACAACTGGTAGGGATAGTGGGACGTGTACACCCGACTACGGTGATCACGTGTGCGGGTTGGCACCAGCTGTTGAGGGGTGCTGATACCGCGCCTTCAGTCAGCTGTTTGCAACATTTCGAGCCCCGGATTGGGAGGCCCGGGCTGGAATCCCCCATTGCATGGAATGTGACCGTCCCCACGGTGACAGTCGTCGCGAGCGGTTGCGACGATGACGGGCGGAGCAGACGTGACGAGCGTCGAAACGATATCCAGTGGTTAGCAGGACAGCACTGCTCAGTCTAGCCAGCTGTGATGTGACAGGTCTGTGGAAAACGTACGCTATTGATCCCCTTTGTCGGCGGCGGGCTTACTCCCCCGCGGCCGTGTTCTAGTCTGGAGGGGTGCGGCATGTAAGCACGCGCACAAAAAGCGTGACGCGGCTACCCGTTCTCCTGAACTTGTGACGCGGCCGTGCCGATCTCCACTGTTGTCCAGGAGCCGTTCGCACGGCGTGCTCACAACCTTCCTGACATCGCGTCGTCTCGGTACTTCAGGTGAAGAGCTTCAAGGATTACGTGGACCTCTATCTCAAAGACAAGGTGGACGACACCGGCAACCAGGTCAAGTGCGTCTACGAGAACTGCAACCCGCGCTGGGAGGTGGCCATCGCCATCTCGGACAAGGGCTTCCAGCAGGTCTCCTTCGTCAACAGCATCGCCACCACCAAGGTGAGCATCCCGGTCCTGCGGGGTTTCTGCGTGAGACAGGACATGCGTGAAGCTGGGATAACCTGGGGCGCGGCCGGAGACATTTGACGGCTCACTGCTGCGTCTGGCGGAAACTCGGCCCGTTATTGGCTGCCGGGGCTTGCGCCTTCACGCCGCCGTGGATTCAGTCGTACGTGAAGATGGAGCATCGCTGCCAGAAGTGACTGCAAGAGCAATGGTCTCATCGTGGCTCATGTCGCGGTAAGGGAAATTGAGTAGAATGCAATTTCCGGTGCGCGTACCGCAGCCAGCCTCGATTCGCCGAATCTGTGTGCGTCAGCACGACACCTGGCCTCGCGGGGCGGCGACGTCTGAGCCGGGCACATATAGATGGCGCCGTGGTGTCGTCGCCGCCTCGGCCCGCCTCTGCGTAATGACTCGGCGCCGATCTCCCTCGAGCCCCGCTGCGGGACCTGTGACAGCGCTGCCTCGGCCCGCCTTTGTGTGCTGACCCGACACCGATCTCCCTCGAGCCCCGCTGCGGAACCTGTGACAGCGTCGCCTCGGCCCGCCTCTGTGTGCTGATCTGTGACAGCGCCGCCTCGCCCGCCATTGTGTGCTGACCCGACACCGATCGCCCTCGACCCCGCTGCAAAACCTGTGACGGCGCAGCTCACCCGGAGCGCAGCGTCGTGCGGCCGTCACGAGGTCGCGTGGCGGTCAGAGGCTTTGCATGACCTGGTGCGCGTGACGTTAACCGCGTATGAACGTGGTGAGTTTCAGTCCCGTGCATGGTACAGCAAAGTTGACAGGCGGCTGTCGCATGGGCAGGGCGGTGAGCCCGAGAGCGGCTGCTGCCCAGCTCTGTGCTCCGTTAACAGCAAGCGGCGAGACCGCAGTCTTCGGAACCGCGGCGGCGGCTACGGAGACTGGCTTCACGCATGACGCCACCTGTCCCGAGTCCGGCGCTCTGTAACCCCGGCGGTCGGGTCGCTGCCAGCCACAAGGCTGGTGCGTGTGACGCCGACAGCGCGGCCACCACCCGCCCCGAGTCCGGCGCTGTGCAACCCCGGCGGCGCTGCGAGCCACAGGGCTGGTGCTGGTGACGCCGGCGGCGCGGCCACCACTGATCCCAAGTCCGGCACTCTGTAACACCAGAGGTCGGGCCGCTGCCAGCCACAAGGCTGGCGTTGGTGACGCCGACAGCGTGACCAAGTGGTCCCGAGTCTGACGCTCTGTGCCCCTCTCAGGGCGGCCGCCACGTGGACCACGTCGCGGACATGCTGATCAAGCAGCTGATCGACACCATCAAGAAGAAGAACAAGGGCGGCGTCCAGATCAAGCCATTCCAGATCAAGAACCACATGTGGGTGTTCATCAACTGCCTGATCGTCAATCCTGCTTTCGACTCGCAGACCAAGGAGAACATGATCCTGCAGACCAAGAGCTTCGGCTCCAAGTGCTCCTTCAGCGACAAGTTCATCGGGCAGGTAGGCGCGGTCGGGGGATGGGGGCTTTATCGCTGTGGGTGTGGGGTCGGTGTGCGGCCCCTGCGTTTCTACTTGCGAGCCGGCATATGGGTAGTTTGTAATTTGTTTGCTGACATGCTTATTGTAGCAAATGATCACGGAAAATGGCACTGACATAAAATGAGCTTCGATGAACCCGCAGAGTGAAAAGAGTGAGATTGTATGTCTCAAATTAGTTTTCCGTAAGCATTATCTTTGTGATCTGGGGTAGTTTTCATTCGCGTACGGTCCTTTCTTTTGGAAGCTCCTTATGCCACTTTGTTACGGCGCGTGCTTGATATCGACCTTCTGGACCGGTTCGTGTCCGTCTGCGTCAGCTGAATTTTGGTAGAGTTGGGGGCAGCGCCGAGTGATCCGAGTTGGGGACCGTTAGTTGTGTAGCATTCGTCTCGTAAATAAGATATAAGCTTTCTGGCCGAATCATTATTTCTAACTGGCGACACATCCGTGTCTCTGAGCGGCACGGTGCGCGATCGGTTTGATGTGATACCTCATCAGGTCGTTTTTTATTGGCGTTTATAAGGCCATTGGTGCGGGGAACGCAAATTGGCGTGTTCGACTGGGATGTGCCAGCTCTGTCCATTGTGTACCAGCTCAGGCTGAGCTGACCTGAAAAGATATTGTTTCACCTTTCGGCAACTGCTAGCTGGTGTGTACATTCTCTTTCTCACATAATGCGCACTTATTACTGGGCGAACCAATGCTCCCGGGAGTGGATCGGTGTAAAGCTGCGAGCCTAAAAAGCCTCACAAAAGCCTAAAAAAAGATCTTCATACCTGTAGTTTTTTCTAAGAAAGTTGGTTTAGTATCTCTTGTATGAGTCAGTGTGATGAGCTCCCAGCAATGAAACGAAGATAATGTCATGCATATGCCTACAACCTGGGCATAGAGCTTTCTTTGAGTAAGTGCATGCCAAGGTATGCCATTGTACCCTTATTGCCCAATTCAGCAGAATGCGTCCAAATCTTTGACAGGATCTGGAAATCAGTCTTGCGGTCATTTAGAACATAACTCGACCTCAATTGATCTGATGATCAAGAACTGTTGCAGTGTTGGCATTGTCAATACGGCGCATGCTGGGTGGCTATCTGCAGCTCACAGTAAACACTGACGTCCGTAAGGACCTGACGCGGTCCCCTGCACGCTCCTCCACGCATCATGATGATCATGATCATGATTATGGAGAGATAGCCTTCCGGCGGATGTCCTCTGTCCATACACCATGGTCTCTCGAGTCTCTCCGATGGCAGACTTGACACTGCTGCTGGCTGTTTGCGGCGTACAGTGTGCAAATTGTGCTACATGCGCGTACGCGGCGCGCTTTTTGGACGTTTGAACTCCAGTCTTGGAACATTTTGCTTTGCGGGTCGGCGCATTCAGCTTGGGTTAAATTGAGAACCGCAAACCATACCCAACACTTCCCAGCTTGCTACCTGAAGCTGGTACCAGAAGAGTTTGGATCTCAGCCATACCACCACGCAGAAGCCTGCTGGTGGTACTTCCGTTTCGTGCATCTCTTACCGGGTCCAATATTTGTCAGCACCGGTATCCGGCGACATGGGCTCGTGCTGCGGACTCGAGCGTGTTCGCCGTGGCTTGCGGCAGCGGACAGTGTTGTGCCGGCCTGCCCGGTCGGCCGCCGTACCTCACCGTCCCCTCCCCTCCCGCCGCCCGCCAGGTCAACAAGTGCGGCATCGTGGAGTCGGTCATGGCCTGGGCCAAGTTCAAGGCGCAGTCGCAGCTCAACACCAAGTGCAACGCCAAGAAGCAGAACAAGATCCGAGGTGAGCCCGCCGGCTGCGAGCCGCCCCGCGCGCTACGCAGAGGTACGCGGCCGGCTGCCTTGCCAGCCCGCGTGACCGCACCCCGATCAGATTGATACAGAAAGCACACTATATATTATATATATATATATATATATATATATATATATATATATATGTAATATGATGTAACGAGCGGAATCAACATACACTCATACATATGCATGCGCAAACACTCATATATATATATATATATATATATATATATATATATATATATATATATATATAATGATATGCGGTGTAATGAGCGCGATCAGCAGGAGCGCTGTGCGCGGGCGACGGCGCGTGGGCCTGCTCCGCTCAGAGGCAATCATCGGCAGGGCGTAACGATCTGGACAGAGGCGGGATGGCGCGCGACGGCACAAAACTGCAGCAGCGGGTGAAAGACGCTGTTACGCCGTGAATGACGCCATTAGTGTCAATGCGGCGGCGGCGGCGGCGGCGGTTCGGACCTCGTCGTCCTCGCGGCAGGAGTTTTGACGAGGCGGAGTGGGTCTGGACGGAGCGCTCTGGGCGATTGGATGGCGCTGGCCCCCGCGCAGAAGGTCCTGGTGACATTTTGCACCGCTGGTGACGCGTTTGACCATGCGAGGGGGCGTGCGCAGCCGAGCCAGGCGTCTGTTGCACTGCCAGGTCACGACCCAGCCGCCTCGGTCGGGACGGTCGGTGTCGGGGTCGATGCCAGCGCTCGAATCACCAAATCAGCCAGTGGGGAATTAGGCAGGCGGGGCGCGGATGGCTTGTCCGCCGTTGGCTCCCGGTGCAAGGAGTATGCAAGTGACAAGCAAAGACGCTGTCCACGGGGTGGCGTGAGTGGCGCTTTTGGCTTTGATGGAATTTTCGTGAGGTGGTCTGCTGAACAATTACGCTATGCGTTAGAAACGAAACACCAGAACACTAGAAACTGGAACACTAGAAACGAAAATTGTGACCTCGTTGGCCACCTATTTATGTACTGCGTTCCCATTCCCGCAACCCAAGTGGCGGTTTCCGGCAATCAACAGCTGCCACAGCCTCTGGCAACCAACAGAAGACGGGTGCATTGGCAGTATGCCCGCGCCCATCTGTATGACAAGCGTCGCCCCAGGCTCTGGGCGACCTTGGCCGAGTAATGTTCTACGTATACAGGCAGGAATAGCATCGTTTCCCCCTCAGCTGGGTGGTAGAGCATCAGACAACAGACAGCATGCACCTGGGAATATCTATCCTGCGACATTTATGTGGCTCGTTTGACGCCTAACTTCCGAAACCTTGTTCGCCGAGTTTGAATTGCAGCTGTACTGGGGTGGCGTGGCTGGGCTCTTGGAGACAAACTGGCCGCCATATGGTCTCAACAGCTAAGGGCGTCGTAAAATCCCATAGCGACAGCGATGACGGCGACAAACTGCCCTTGGCGGGGGCTCCCAGCACAGGCTGTGGTTGCAAAACCAGCAGCTAGTCAAAGTTCTGCTAACATTTTTATTACAATGCACTTAAAAAGAAACCGAAGCATTGTTCCCATAAGTTTGAATTTTATGTCATTTCATTTCCAGGGCTATTTCACTTGTGGCATAACATTCCTTACGTGTTCACACCTTTGCATGCCATGGCGGGGTACATTATGGTCTTGTTTGGGTAGCGAATAAACGAGTTGTAATAGTTACATATATATATATATATATATATATATATATATATATATATATATATATATATATATATATGTTGTTTGTTATATTAGCTTTTTATGCAACAGTCCTAAGTAATTACAGATTTTCCACATCGGCTGGATTCTTCGTGCGGTAAGAAGGCTAACACGCCATGCATAAGTCAAAAGGCGAAAAATTGCGCCCGCATCTATCTTTATTTGCTGTACGCTCATTTCCTCAATCCTAGTGACGGTTTCCTCCAACCGACAGCGGCAGCGGACTGGTTTTTGGCATTCTGGTCGCGCTCGTTCGTGTGACAAAGCTTCGCCTCAATCTCGGGCCGGCTTTGGCCGAGCAGTGTTCTGTGCTGCCACTGGGAGATCAATGTCACGTCACCGAGCGATTGGGAGGCACATTGACAGCTGTCGCCAGCGCGTGAGAGACCCGACGACAAACGACTTTATTGGTTGCGCACTTGTTAGGATATTGTTTCTATATATATATATATATATATATATATATATATATATATATATATATATATATATATCTATATCTATATATAATGGTGTAATCGGTGCCTGAGGTTAATGCAAGCTCACCCTTCACATAACAAGTGCGGAGGAAGGCATCGTAGATTGAGAAGAATTGGTAAACACGAGATGACGGATTCATTTTGTTTAATTTGACGTTTCTATGAGAAATAATTAGGGGATGAACTGACGAGTCATCCGTGTCAGAAGAGCCGTCGTTTCATGCGATCATTTTTGAATTCTCTGTCATCTCATATCCTCAGAGATGTAGCATGTCATGTATTTTCATTAAGTGCTTCCAACATCATGATTGTTGAAGCGCTGAAATAGCAGGAACTTAGCGAGAAATTTAATAATTACGTCAATCACGTTAATTTAGTCGAGGGACAGAGACCGTTCGTTGCTTCTGCGGGTTGCTGACCCCCTGTTGGATTTGGTTCACGGAGTTCGGCTCGTAGCTGCCTGCCAATTGGCCATTAACGGCCTGTCCTGTCGGTCATCTTTTCGATCATTTTGCTTAACAAGGGAGACAGGCGGACAGCACGTCTTGCTGGCTTCAGTATCAAAGTGCCTCTGGCGTTACTTCTCTACCTACTCACCCTATACGGCTTACGACATTTAATTTACATTTTGTATTTAAATTTTTTGTGTTTTTTTCCTTAGATTTTATAATTTGAGCATACGGTATTTTAGGTTTTTATGCGACATACTTCCGCCGAAATGATGCGCAATAGGAATGATTCTTTTCAGAACAACAGGCTCCTATTGTTATGACCTTGGGAAGTCTTCAGTTCATTACTATGTCGGGCTGGCATGCAGAAAATTATACTGAGCTCTAAGGGCTGGCGCCACATAAAGTTCTAAAAAGTGTTCGTAAAAGTTTAAAATACGTATCTTATCAAGCGTTGCGGGCGTGCATCAAACAGCGGAGTGTTGAATGTTGAATGTTGAGTGTTGAACGCTGAATGTTGAATATTTTGGCCGTGACAGCGGAGCTGGGCAGAGCTGTGTCTCAGCTCAGATCGGTACTATCGAGTCGTGTTATTTATGCATGGCGAGCGGGGTCCATTGTCACACCGGCCGATGATATGTTGGAGTTTGGCGGGGTTCGGGCTGTCGCCTGGTGCTTTATGGGGTGTCGTGTGAAGGGCGGAGTATCTTCTGGCGGTTTATTTCGGAGTCGATGACGTGTTAGAAGTGAGGGATGTCTGCAGACTCAGGGAGATACTGTCACTAAGGCGCCTTTTGGTTTGCTCTCTTTGTCCTGTTGGAGGGCGAAAAGTAGCGCTGGTTGTAAGTGATAATGTTGTAGTATATATGTAATAACCTTGCAAATTGCAAACTTGTGTCGCTAAATATGCAGGTAAAGTTTACTCATTGAACTTGTCCTGCTGGTAGTGTTGTCTTTGCCACTTAATCAGTCGTCCTACGGCTTCCGGTGGTGAATGCGTGGCTGCTCTGATTGGTGCGATACGCCACGTGCGCACGTGCAGCGACGCGTGGCGTCGTCTTATGTGTGATTACACAGTAGGCGGGTCTAGCTGCGTGTCAGTCCACAGCCTCAACAATAATTGTTCATTGATTATGCTGTAACATGGAAGGCAAAGGACATTCGAAAGAACCATGAAGGCTCTGCCCACTGAAATGAAATGGGAACTTGAACCAAGAAAGCTTAGCTTTTAGAGGTTTCCCCCTCCCAAAGTGGGTCGGAAGATTTCATAAAATACGCTCAAAGTCATGGTAGGAAGAGCCGCTTTTCAGTCCCAACAACTTCTGAACAGCCGAACTATTTCCACTGCAGAATTACTCGCGATAACCTGTCCCGACTTGCCACGCAGTCAGCTTAGAAGCGTTTTTTTCCGTCGGCCCCGTTGCCGTACCGTCCCCATCGATAGACCCCGCCAGGTGGTTCAGGCGAGCTAGGGCATCGCGGCTGGGGAAACGGAGATGGAAGTTGAAAGGTCGCCTGTTACACGTTCAAAGATGCGCTGCTTTTTGCTGGGAGTTGAAAGTAATTGGTCTGTGCTTTTTCGGTGACTAGTTATGTGCCAGGCCTTGTGCGCCGCGCGGGTTTCATCCGCGCGTTTGACACGCATCACGAAGCGCCGCCGTACCCACCTGACGATGACGTCAGCACTGAGCCCGGGTTCGGTGGTGCTGTGGCTAAGCTGCGCGTCTGAGAGACCAGAGCCACGGCGTTCGATCCCCCGCGATGACCGCGGACCACCCGCGGTCCTGTCAGGGCGAGAGGCGACGCCGGATAGCCTCGGCGGCCGAGTGCGTCGTAAGGCCCCAGCGACGGGGCAACACGGCCGCTGACGCCCGCTCCGCCGTCCCGCGCAGGCATCCCCAAGCTGGAGGACGCCAACGACGCCGGCACGCGCTACTCGCAGGACTGCACGCTGATCCTGACCGAGGGCGACTCGGCCAAGACGCTGGCCGTCAGTGGGCTGGGCGTCATCGGACGCGACCGCTACGGCGTGTTCCCGCTCAAGGGGAAGCTGCTCAACGTGCGCGAGGCGTCCCACAAGCAGGTTTGGCAGCGCGCAGGGACGCGGCGAGGGAGCTCGGCCCCGGTGGGGGTGGTGGGGGAGAGGAATCCCAGCCGAGATACGCGGCGGGGGAGCTCGGCCCCGGTGGGGGTGGTGGGGGAGAAGAATCCCAGCCGAGGGACGCAGCGAGGGAGCTCGACCCCGGTGGGGGTGGTGGAGGAGGAGAAGCCCGGCCGAGGGACACGACCAATGGAAAGGAAGTTGCCTGAGGTCGCTGTCGGAGGTTTCATGGCAGTCATTTTTACGAGTGTACGCAACATTTCATACCGGAGCTTCACAAAATCCTGACATAATTGGTATCACGTTGGTTTTATCATAGGTGAATAGTACATCGATTAAATACATTACACATTGTTTCCTGGGCCGTGTTCATTGGGTACGTTTATAACTTAATGCTGCCGGCGATAAATAAACGTAACGAGAGCAGAGGGCAGAGGACGCTGCAAGAAAGCCTCACAAATGCGCGAAGGCGCCGCCTGTCGCGGGTCGGAAGATCTCACCAGCCGCCTGTCGCGGGTCGGGGATCTCTGACAGCCCTCCTGTCACAGGTCGGGGTATCTCACCGCCCTCCTGTCGCGGGTCGGGAGATCTCACCAGCCGCCTGTCGCGGGTCGGGGGATCTCACCAGCCGCCTGTCGCGGGTCGGGGATATCTCACCAGCTGCCCGTCGAGGGTCGGGGATCTCACCAGCCGCCTGTCGCGGGTCGGGGATCTCACCAGCCGCCTGTCGCGGGTCGGGGTATCTCACCGCCCTCCTGTCACGGGTCGGGTATCTCACCAGCCGCCTGTCGCGAGTCGAAGGATCTCAACAGCCGCCCATCGTGGGTCGGGGATCTCACCAACGGCCTGTCACGGGTCGGGGATATCTCACCAGCTGCCCGTCGAGGGTCAGGGATCTCACCAGCCGCATGTCGCGGCTCGTGAGATCTCACCAGCCGCCTGTCGCGGGTCGCGGGGATATCACCAACTGCCTGTCGCGCGTCGGGGGATCTCACCATTCGCCCGCCGCGGACCGCCTGCACCGGGGTCGCTCGGTTAGATGCCGCGGGGGTGGCCTGATGAGCGGCGACGACTGCCGTGGCTGCTGGGTTGAAATTGACACCGTTTTTTTGGCACTGTAATCACTAGATTGCCTTCGATTCATCGCCTCCGAGATGTCGTTTTTTGTGCTGGTGTTCTCCATCTAAGTTTTGGCTCGAAGGAACTAGTCGTGTTCGATCGAAAAAGTTTCCTTGAGCATGTTGGTGATTACGATTCCGTCAGTTTCTTTGTTTTGTAAGTTGAATCGTAAGCCCCCGTGCGGATTTGTAACTACCCGCATCGTGATCGTCGCTCCCATGAACCATAAAGAACCTACCACACTCCGGACTTAACCCGCCGTCGTCCGTTAGGTGCCTGCCACTGACAGCGACCGCTTGATCGTCAGATTCTCGAGAACCAGGAGATCAACAACGTCATCAAGATCATGGGCCTGCAGTACAAGAAGAAGTACGACACCAGCGAGGACCTGAAGACGCTCCGCTACGGGAAGCTCATGATCATGACAGATCAGGATCAGGTAGACCCCGAAATAGGGCCGCGCACGGCGGACGGCCTCCGTCCGATCCCGTGCTCCGCTGGTACCCATCTGAAGAGTCGGCCCCCGACGCGACATCTTATGTAGCGGCGGCTGGCTTTGTGACGCCCGAATGTAGAGACTGTCCGTCCAGAAGCGACACGAGGAGCTGGCCCACACATCAAACCTGCCACAGGCTGACAGACGGCCGGGCTGGCGCTGCTTCAGCCGGCGGCGTGGTGCGTTCAGCCGGGGCGCGGACGGCTGCTCATTAATCAGCTGTCGGGCGCCCCGCTGATGCGGCTGTCAGTGCCGTTTCTCAGTCCTCAAATCCATCTTTGACACATGGTATTTGCGATTTGACACTTTTAGCGTCCCTCTGATTCCCCTGTAATACCCGTATGATGTCCTTCCGCCGTATTGCACCGTCTACAATTCCGCATCTCTACGCCACTCAAGCACCGTTGGCCCCGCCGACCGCCCCCCCCCCCCCCCCCCCCCCCCCCCCCTCCCATCTGACGCTGTTGACTTACACCGGCATATGTGACCCATTAGAAGGCCATGCAATGCACATGTAATGCTCCCCTAATGCTTGAAACACAATTTTGAACCGGAAGTATTTCCTGACGCACTTTCCGACCGCAATCACATAGGTTTTAACCCTCAGTGCAGTTGCTTCATATTTCAAATGCGCATGCGCGGCTCGTGTTTGACACCGACGAGAAGCTGGCGACCCCCGATCCACCCTATGACATGACTGACAAGCTCCGGGTACACACCTCTGGCACCGCGCTGACGCGCCTTGCCATGTTCGCCGGGCAGGACGGCTCACACATCAAGGGCCTGCTCATCAACTTCTTCCACCACAACTGGCCGACGCTGCTGCAACAGCCGTTCCTCGAGCAGTTCATCACGCCCATCGTCAAGGCCAGCAAGGGCAAGGAAGAGGTCAGCTTCTTCTCAGTACCCGAGTTCGAGGAGTGGAAGCAGAACAAGTCCAACTGGCACACCTACAAAATCAAGTACTACAAAGGTATTTTTGTGGGGAATGACACAGGGAGAATGATTGACCGATGGCAGGGCAATGCAGCGTCAGCTTGGGGCAGCATGCGGCGATCCGATCCTTGACAGGCTTCATGCTGGACTGACTGGACAGACGGGACGAGACTTGAGCAGAGACTTGGTTAGAGTCTCGCCCCCTCGTTCCGGATCGGCTTGAAGTTGCGGTCCGAGAAGCATGCGACGGCGAGCTTGGGACGCGTCGGGTTTGATTTGTGGGAGACGGCCACGCCCGAGGCGCCATTTCCACGGTCGTTGAGTCTCCAGTGTAGCCCGTCCCAGCGTTTTCTCGCCGTCACATTTTCTATGAGTAGTGGTCCTACTCGGGCTCGTCTGGACCACGACGGCACATATCGGTCGCTGTCCTGTAACGCAACTGCGCTCGTCTGTATTGTGTGGCGCTGCTGCGGCCGCTACGTGATGTGCTGTGCTGACGTGGCCCCGTTGTGCTGTGTTTGCTGTGTCAGCTGTGCTTGACGCGTCCCCCGTGTGACCGCTGTGTCATGTCCGCTACCGCTGCGCGACTGCTCCGGGCGTCACTTGTGCGCCGGCCGTGCGGTGTTCACGTGACGTTGGCCGCCAGGTCTGGGCACCTCCACCGCCAAGGAGGCCAAGGAGTACTTCTCAGACATGCTGCGTCACCGGATCAAGTTCCGGTACGAGGGCGACCCGGCCGACCGCGCCATCAACATGGTGGGTGGCGCGTGCCCGGCCAGGCGCCGGTCCCGTGTGACGGCCCGGGCGCTGCTGATGAGCCGGCCTCCTCTCCTGCCGACTGATTCCTTTTTCGCTGAGTGATCGTCCCCGACGCGTGGGGTGAACGGAGGATTACTCTGACGGGGTGCGTCTCTCTCTCTCTCTCTCTCACTCTCTCTCTCTCTCTCTCACTCCTCACTCTCTCTCACTCTCTCTCACTCTCTCTCCTCTCTCTCACTCTCTCTCTCCTCTCTCTCACTCTCTCTCACTCTCTCTCCTCTCTCTCACTCTCTCCTCTCTCTCGCTCTCTCCGCTCTCTCTCTCTCTCGCTCTCTCTCGCTCTCTCTCTCGCTCTCTCGCTCCTCTCCTCTCGCTCTCGCTCTCTATCCTCGCTCTCTCCTCTCTCTCTCCTCTCTCTCTCTCTCTCTCGTCTCTCGCTCTCTCTCTCTCTCATCTCTCGCTCTCTCTCTCTCGCTCTTGTTATCTCTCTCTCTCTCTCTCGCTCTCTCGTTCTCGCTCTCTCTCTCGCTCTCTCGTCTCTCTCTCTCTCTACCCTTACTCTTCTCTCGCTCACCCTTTTCTCTCCTTTCCGCCCTCTCCCTCTCTCCTCTACTCCCTCCCTCCTCCCTCCCTCCCCTCCCTCCCTCCAGCGCTATGCTCCCGCTCGCTCTATCTTCGCGCCAGATGGTGTAAACACCTGATGCTGCTGACACCCGGCACTACTTGCGCCCCCCACCCATTGTTCCGGACATTGCCCACGTCTCGCGCTGCCTGCACCTGACAGCGAGTCCCGTCCGTCCGCAGGCGTTCAGCAAGAAGTGCGTGGACCAGCGGAAGGAGTGGCTGACCAATTGGATGGAGGAGTGCAAGCGTCGCCGCGAGCTGGGGCTGCCCGAGCTCTACCTCTACGAGAAGGAGACGCGCGCTGTCAATTACACCGACTTCGTCAACAAGGAGCTGGTGCTCTTCTCCAACCTGGATAACGAGCGCTCCATCCCGTCTCTGGTGGACGGCCTGAAGCCGGGCCAGCGTAAGGTGGGCGTGCCGGCGGGCTTGGGCGGCGCACCGGCCGCGTGGGACCGGCGGCCGGCCGCCTCTGCGGGCGGAGACTCACCACCGGGGGGGGGGGGTCTCAATGGCAGTCGGCGGTGCTCGCGCGAGATTTGATGAGCGGTGTTTTGAGGCGGCTGTACAAGATGTCGGAAGTCAGTCCCGCTCCCGACCGCAGTTAGGTCACATGACACGTCGTAGGCGATCGTTCGGCCGTTTTTCGGAAGCCCCCGACCACTCGCTCGATCGCTCTCGGATGCGACGGTCGCCGACTTGCGTGTTGTTCCCGCCGCCGCGTGCCGCGCGTCTGGAGAAGAATGGCGTGCCACCCGGGCGCGGCTGGAGAATTAATGGCTCGATCATGGGGCGGGCGTGTTCATTGCGGCCGTACGGCGCCGCCCGGCTCTCACGGAGTCGCCGGTCTGTGGGGACCGCGATGGGGCGCCGTACAGAGGTCCGGCTTCTCACCGGGCGACGGCCAACGTCTGGACCGCGATGGGGCGCCGTACAGAGGTCCGGTTTC